TATAGAAGTGAAACATTTACCTGAAGTCCCCAAAATGCCCCGGCCGACTTACTGGAAATGTCCAAAATACCCTGGTCGGTTCGCATTCTGTCCATTTTCTAGTCAGCATCTAGATCCTTCCTTAGCTTCCTTCTTATCCTTAACTTTCCATCGATACGCTGAAGTGTATCAGAGCTGTCGAGATCTATGAACTGCGAGACCTCTTCAGTCGACCTGAGATATCGACTCGAGTCGACTGGATCGTATTCAACCGCTAGTGGATCCTGATACGTTTGACCATCATCCTGGAGGAAATCAACTTATGCTAGTCGACATGTGTACGTCGACTTAGACGAGTGCCGGGATCCTTGACCGTGAGTATCATGCAAAGCCTATTGGCGGAGTCGACTTTGCGCAAGTCGACTTGGTAATCTCCGAGCCGTAATGATATGGACCGTTATGCGTCAGTGTGGCTATATCAACAACAAAATTATTCTTAATATTGTGCAACTTTTCAAAACGACATTTATTTTGAATAGGGGGGAGTACTAGATTTGGATCGACCAACAACATTTATCCACCAACAACAATTTTCTTTTTGTTAGTCAGGACCTGTAAACTAGCTGAGCCAAAACTCGATCTCTATCCTTTAACGAATTGAACTACAAAAAATTATAAGATAATCATCTCTCCGAGCTTTATCGTGCCGAAATTGTTAACGAGCTGAATCGAACCGAGCTCGTTTAACTTAATAGCTCTAGTCAGGACTCAGGACTAACTAGGAGAGATGTCTCATGTCCACGACATTTTTTTCCTGGCATTAGTGTTTGGCACGTTGAATGTTAGATAACTATATTTTTTTCAATATATATATATATATGTGTGTGTGTGTGTGTGTGTGTGTGTGTGTGTGTGGGTGTTCATGTAAATTTACATGAGTAATTTTCTTACTTATAGTGGTTACGAGTTAATGTGTTTATCAAGTGATATGACAATAAGTTAACATATAATACTCTGAGAATATGTAGTTGAAAATTTTTGAAATATTGACATATATATGACTGGTGAGCACGTCTTAATTTGCGCACGCTAGATAAGCTAACAATTTCGTATTGTACATTGTAAAGTAATATAAGTAAAATATAGTATTTATAATATAATTTTTAGTACTATTATATTAATAGTTTAAAAATGCAATACCACTTAATAGTTAAGCAGTTTCAAACATGCATTCAATTAGGATTTTTAGTTTGTCAAAAGCGAGTGATTTTGTTTTTGTCCTTCTGATAATTAAAAATTTTTAAGATGTCTGGTCAACATTCATTGAAAATCGTAGTAGCCTGATTTTCGCCTAATAAAATTATTATGATCCAATTAGTGTAAAAAATAATTAATGCTAGTCATTAACGATTTTTGACGGGAAAGTGACACGTAAGTATAATTAAATAAATGTTATTTAATGTTTCGCGAGACCAATTATACAGATATAGATTAAGATTGTGGGTGGTGAATCTCTTTTACTCCTATTTGTTCAGATTCAGGTCCTTACATGAATTAGGTTGGGGCACATGATATGTAATTAAATACAAATTT